ACAGGAGGACAGGCAAGGAGACAATTCACACAGCACACAGGAGGACAAGCAAGGCAATGAAGGAGGTAGGAAGACAGGTGACCTTGCCCACTCACCGGAGCTGTCAGCTCAAAGGCTTACCGATTGCCAAGTGTCACCCTCATCTGTTCTAGGACTTGCTCAAGGGACGAAACTCAGTGTTACATGGAAGGAGAGCGGCTTACACTTCCCCTGTGTTATACACCGTTTCCTTTTCTAGGTAAATTCAAGATTCTGAATATCTCTCTGTCTCTCCCTCTCTGTCTCTCTCTATCTCTCTCTGTCTGTCTGTCTCTCTCTCTCTCTCTCCAGGGTCTTTCTATGTGGCCCTGGCTCCTGCCTCCTATGTGCTGGGATTAAAGGCATGTGCTTACATCTAAACAGCTTTCTTTGTTCTGGGAGATGAACACAGAGTCTCATACGTGCTAAGTGTATACTCTATCACTGAACTATACTCAAAGGCCTAGATACACACAGATTTTTTTTCCCCCTGAGGCAAGGTCATGTATTCTAGGCTGGCTTCTGATTTCTGATCTTCCTGCCTCCCACTCCACCTGCTGGGATTAAAGACACCTATCATCATGCTTGGTTTAGGAGTCAAGCTCGGGGGTTTCTGTATGCTAGATAAGCGTTCTGCCAGTGGAGCCACACCCTGAACCCATTCCCACATATTTTAAATGTTACATAGTTCACATTTATTATCATTTTATGAAGATGCTGAAGACCTGTATTTTGACTAGTATAAAAAGACAAGGCAAGATGTGAAGATCAATTGGTTGGAGATGCCCAGGTAGAGATGTGAGGTTTGCTGTGTCAGAGCCTACCCTTGGGAAGAAAAGGAAGACTATGGCCTTGGCAAGATGAAAGGCATGGCAGAGCGGGCTTAACTGAATCTTAACTTTGGGTACAAGATTAGGATGGCAAGAGATGAGGTGGGGGTGTAATATGAGCTATGAAAGTAGGGCACAAAGCCATTTGGGGATATGAATTAGACCCAATGGATATTAGCACAGCATAGAGCGGATTATTTCCCAGTGGGATTTCCTCAGCAAGCTGGAGGGAGAGTGCATAGTCACATGGCTGCATGTCTCTAAGCCTATTGGCACACCCAATGCATTCATCTTGAGGTCTATAGAATATGGATACAGAAAACAAACAGAAGGTATGGATGTCAGCTCTACTGTAGATGACAGCAAGTGCAGGACAAGGTGTGCTCCTACCAGCCTTCACTGCATGCACAGAGTTAAGAGGCACATAAAAGTCTTGGGGTGAGCACCTCCTGCTCCTTCTCCACAGAGCTGGATAAACACACCTGTCACACAGGCTCGATCAGCCCCAGTCCACTGTTGCTGCTATGCTAATGCCTGTTAGTAAGAGTTAAGTGGATGGCGGTGATGGGGCTCCAGAGACACACGCCTCTTTGCAGGTGGCATTTAGTCTCTGTTTGGCAGGGAACGGAAACACATTTGCTCTTTGGTATAGATCAAGTGCAGCCCTGGTTCATTCTATACAACCCTCCCTTAGCAACAAACTAGTTTAACTGGCACTTCACCAACAGTAAGAGAAGCTTAACTGTTACCTGGAAACATCTGTTTATTCTCTGGGAAACAGTAAAAGAAGCATCTGTATAATGTAAGTAGCCCTCTGCAGTCAATAAGATGCCTACCAGCAGAAGGGTTTACCCTTCTTGTCTGTGGGGAGAGAAGAGGTGCCAGGAAATCACAGTGAAGAAGCTCGGCAGTAGAGTATTTGCCTTATACCATGCACAAGAAACGGAGTTCTAACCAAGCACCACACAGTAATAAAAAATTTAAAGGCAGGCTTAAAAATATTTAATCACGTAGTATTCTTTAGAGTCTGTACAGGTTGTTGTTGTTGTTTTTTCCCTATTGTAAAAATAACTATAGTCAGATGTGGTAATACTTGTAATCCTAGTATTTGGAGGGCAGAGGCAGGAGAATTGCTGTGGACAGCCTGAGGTACAAAGTGAGATTTTGTAGTGGGTTGATGGAGGAACACAACGAAGAATATCAGGATGAAAGCACATGCCTATAACCCCTGCACCAAGAGATGGAGGCTGAAAAACTAGCCCAAGCCCATAAAACTCTGCCTCAAACAACAACAACAACAAAAACCTTAGGGGCTGGAGAGATGGCTCAGTGGTTAAGAGCCTGGATGCTCTTCCAGAGCACTTGGGTTCTATTCCCAGCACCCATGTGGTGGCTCACAACCACCTGTCACTCCAGTTCTAATGCCCCTTCCTAGCCTCTGCAGCACGCACACAGCACACAAAGCCTCCCACAGACACACCTGCATACACATAAAAAAAAAAAAACCCTCAAAAACCTTGAAGA